GTTAGTATTGACAATGTATATTCCAACAAATCATACCCCCATAATGCTTGATACATGCCAAGGTTGGACACCTCTGGTAAAGGCTCTCCCGCTCAAGCAAGGGGTTGGACTAGAAGACCTCCAAGGTCCCTTCTGTTTTTCCATGATTCTGTAAGGATCTGCTGCTTGAGCAGGGAGGCTGGACTAGAAGACCTCCAAGGTACCTTCTGTGATTCTGTGCTCATGAAAATTGGCACTCAGAACACCCGTTTGGAGAAACGCAATCAATTCTGAGCCTCTAAGCTAGGAAAAGAAAAGCAAGAGTATAAATTTATGAATGGAAAATTGGGAAACACATGGAACATGCCTGTTTGTGCAACCGAAGACGGATATCCCCAGAACTGCATCGCAGGATAGCTGACACTGGGAGGTCTCCCCCTAATTCCTGCAGGAGGAGGGAGGGGGGCACTGAGCATGTGTGCTCTGGTCCAGGGAGAGTTTTATGACAAGTTTTAAAGATCTCGACAGACTCGAACCCGAGTGACATTTAACAGGGAGAAAAGCCAGGTTTTACACCGAGGCGGGAAAAAGGATCCCGGATCTGCGCACTTTCCGCCATGCTCTTAAGACCCTCCTATTCCAGCAAGCCGGACTGGCCTAATTTTCTCCCCTTTCTTTAATTTTTTAAACTGAAATTTTAATTTGTTTTAAATTATTGGGATTTTTAATTGTCTTGGGCTAAATTATTTAATTTGGTTTTAAATTGTTTCTAACTTTTGTATTTATGTATTTTATTCTGTGCCTGTTCACCGCCCTGAGTCCTTTGGGAGTAGGGCGGTATATAAATTTAATAAAACAAACAAAATAAACAAACAAAGAAAACCCTAGGTTCGGGTACTGAGCAGGTGAAACCCAGCTCAGAAACAGGAACTGGGAGATGGACTTCGGAGTCCTAGCCAACAATCGGGGGTGGGGGGGTCACTTACTTTCCATCCACGCACGCGCACCTCCTTCTGTGCAGGCGCTTTGCTCACTCATGCGCCTCCCACGCATGTGTCCGGCCTCAAAGACCTGCCTAAATAGGAGGGCATAGAGCCCGGGTGAGCCCACCCGCAATTTCCACTAGCGGTTTGGGGGAACCGGTCCAAACCGGCTGAATACTACCTCTGCCGACAACCCTTTAAACCTGAGCTATATCTCTGCAGCGGCAGCCGAAAATGCTAACCCCCAATCCTGGGTTGTCTCAACAGAGGCACAGAATCACAATCAAGAGAAAAGGTTCGTACCGCTTTGTAAAGCCTTAGTCAGGCCACTCCTGGAAAACTGCAACTAATTTTGGTCACCAGATTACAAACAAGTTGTTGAGACTTTGGAAAAAGTGCAGAGAAGAGCATCTAAGAGGATTAAAGGCCCGGAGAATAAAACATACGGAGAATGCCTGCAGGATTTGGGTCTGGTGAGTCTGGAGAAAAGAAGGAGTGGGGTGGGGGTGGGGGGACAGGATGACAGGCTGCCCCAAAGAACTGGGGGTCGACTTATTCTCCAAAGCACCAGAAAACAGGACAAGAAACAACAGATGGAAACTAATGCAGGAGAAAAGCAACCTGGAATTAAGGAGAAACTTCCTAACAGTGAGGACAATTAACCAGTGGAACTGCTTGCCACTGCTTGCCACCAGAGGTCGTGGGTGCTCCATCACTGATTGACTGCTTGAGCAGGGGGTTGGGCTAGATGACCACCCAAGTCCCATTCCCATTGAGGCTGGAAGGGGAATCCCTCCAAGCAAGGCCTGGCTTGGGAAAGTGAAACAAACTAGGGAGCCATTTTAATCCACCCGATTGCAAAGGGCGAAGGTTAATTGCAAACACAGGGACAAGAGCAAACAAACACTACACAACCCGGTGTGTGGCCTCCTTCGGCAACAACTCCTCCTTTGAGTTATGCGTCCCCCACGTGCACATCAGCTGTTGTGTCGACTAGACGATGACCCGTTTCCCCTGCCCTCCTCCACCGGGACCGAAGAATTTGAAATATTTTCCTTCGGCTGCGGCAAACTTTGCACGCAACTCTGAGTGGGTGTCCCTCCTGGCGCTGAGTTGCGTGCTGAATGACAACCATTTCCCCCAAATAAGTATTGGGCTCCATCAGGATCAAGCCCATTGAACCTGGAATTCTTTTGAGCGAGGGGTTGGACTAGATGACCTCCGAGGACCCTTCCAAAGCTGTCCTTCTATGGTTCTATAAGGGTCTCCTGCTCAAGCAGGGGGCTGGACTGAATGACCCCAAGGTCTCTTCCATCTGTGTCATTCTGTAAAGATCCCTGCCTGAGCAGAGGGTTGGACTGGATGACTTACAAGGTCCAACTCGGTCATTCTGTGTTTCTATGTTCCTCTTGCTCAAGCAGAGGGTTGGACTGGATGACCTCCAAGGTCCCTTCCAAATCTGTCATTCTATGATTCTGTATTCTGCACAATGAAGCCCCAAATATCTTGCAAAAGCAAGCCATTTGTTAAGTGAATCTTGCCCTGTTTTACAACCTTTCTTGCCCCTGTCGTTAAGTGAATCCTACAAGCAGATCCCTTAATAACATGGTTGTTAAGTGAACCGGCTCTTCCCCACTGCTTGTTGGATGGCCGCAAGCAAAGGTCACATAGTAAGGACGAATCAGTCGCTGAGCCTCTGGATGCGGATTTCCCCCCCCCCCATCGCAATTCTGCAAACCGGTCCTAAGTCCACCACTTCCAACCGTCACTAAACGAACCATCATAAAACCGAGGACCGTGTCAGAAGCTGAACCCTCCGAAAAGATAAACACAGCTGCTGAATTTCTCCGGACACGAAAACACACACGCACACGCACGAACCACAACACTACTGCAACGCTCTCTACATGGGGCTCCCCTTGAGGAGCACCCGGAGGCTCCAGCTGGTCCAGAACGCAGCAGCGCGGGTAGTGACGGGAGCAGCATGGCGCTCCCATGTAACACCGCTCCTGCGCGAGCTGCACTGGCTCCCGGTGGTCTTCCGGGTGCGCTTCAAGGTGTTGGTTACCACCTTTACCATGGCATAGGGCCTGGGTATCTCCGAGACCGCCTGCTGCCCCCGACGACCTCCCATCGACCCGTGCGCTCCCACAGAGAGGGCCTCCTCGGGGTGCCATCAGCCAAACAGTGCAGGCTGGTGACCCCCAGGGGGAGGGCCTTCTCTGTGGGGGCTCCCACCCTCTGGAATCAGCTCCCCCCAGAGATAAGGAGAATCCAGGACCTCAGTGCCTTCCGCCGTGCCCTTAAAACCTTCCTTTTCCAGCAAGCCGGGCTAGTTTAGGAAGAAATTTTTAAATTCTTTTAATCAGTTTGTGACTTCTTAACTTTCGGGCCAAATTTATATATATTTTTAACTGTTTTTTAATATTTGTATTCTATGTTCTTATCTTGGCTGTACACCGCCCTGAGTCCTCAGGGAGAAGGGCGGTATATAAATTGGAAATTAAATTAAATTAAATTAAATTAAACACAGTGTTAAAAACAATGCAATTGCCTTGTGCGATTGTGTTAATTCACAAAACCGGACACACAACCAAAACCCAGCTGAAAACAGGACAGGATGAAAGGCCAAGTTGTGTTCATTTGTGTGTGTGTGTGTGTGTGTAAAACAGACTATTTTTTTCCTTCGCAACCGGCTTTTGCAATCCCAACTAAAAACGTCAAGGATGAGAATTCTCACAATTTCAGATTGTGTCAAAAACACCACAAAATCATTTGCAGCCCCCCCCCCCCAAATTGTGATTTCCGCACAACTTTGTGTATGTGTTACAACTTCCGGGGTCAGCTTGTTGGAAACCTTGACACACTTGCAAAAAGGTTGAATAACAAGAAAAAAAACAAACACCATTTGTTGGAAAACTGGGATTGTGTATCCTTCACAAAAATGTCGTTTTGACACATTCTGGCAAAGTATGATTGACAGAGGAGAAAAATTCAATTATGTTATAAATGAAAACAACGTGGCTAAAAAAACAAGAAACAACCACAAAACTTTCAAAAATTACTCTTATTTTTTTCCCCCTTCAAGATTCCCCTTTACAGGCAGTCGTCTTACGATGCTTCGCTTAGTGACCGTTCCAAGTTACAATGGCACCAAACAAAAGGGACTTGGCATTTTTCATGCTTGCAACTGATTCGTATTTATGACAGTCTCGGTGTCTCAGGGAGCCACAGCCATGCAAATCTTTAATGCTCCACTTACGACAGTTCGGTTAGTGACAGTTTTGAGTTACAACGGCACTGAAAAATTCGACTTATGACCGTTTTTCACTCTTATGATCACCCACCGTCACAGGATTGAAATTCAGACACTTGGTGACTTGACTCGTACTTACGACGATTGCAGCATCCCTGGGGTCAGGCGATCCCCTTGTTGACGAGCTTTGGGCGAGCAAAGTCAAAGGGAAAGCCGGATTTGCTTAACGATCGGCTGACTAGCAGATCGACAGCAGGGATTCACTTAGCCACGGTGGCGGGACAGGTTGTAAAACGGGACACAATTCATTTTCGTGGAGGTGCCGCAAAGAAAAACAGCCCTAAGTCACATTTTTAGTGCCGTTGTCACTTTGAAACAGTCATTAAATGAAAGTTGTAATTCGAGGACTACCTGTAATGGAGTTGGGAGCTGAGAGGTCATCTAGTTCAACCCCCTGTTCAAACAGCAGATAGTTACAGAATAAGAGAATTGGAAGGGAATCAGTCAGAAAGGGATCTCAGAGGTCATCTAGTCCAACTCTCTGCCCAAGCAGGAGACCCTTACAGAATCACAGAGTTGGAAGGGACCTTGGAGATCATCTACTCCAACCCCCTGCTCAAGTAGGAGACCCTTGTAGAAATGCATAGTTTAAAGGAGACCCTTACAGAATCCCAGAGTTGGACGGGACCTCAGAGGTCATCTACTCCCACCCCCTGCTTGACCCGAGCTCAAGACGCTGGCCACGATGCCCCTGCCCGCCCAGCCGCCCCAGGCTCACTCACCGTCCTTCCGATAGAAGCAAATCTCCACCTTCCGCTCCTCGGAGCCCAGCAGGGCCTGGGTGATCTGAGCCATGGCACTGGTCTGGGTTCGAGGCCCGTACAGGAAGTCGCAAGTGCACGGCTTCTGCATGACTTCAGCCCGGGTGTAGCCGCAGAGATCACAAAACCCATCGTTGCAGTAGATGATGGCGCAGTTCTCCACACGGGCGTTGGCGATGATGAATTTCCGGCCTGTGGGGAAAAGAGAGAGGGGTGGGGGTGGGGTCAGTAGGGAAAGAGATTTGAGACCCTTAGTCCTGTGCCTCCCTTTCTCTCAACCTCCTTCTCAAAAAGAAGACCCATACAGAATAAAAGTCGGAAGGGACCCTGGAGGTCATCTAGTCCAGCCCCCTGCTCGAGCAGGAGACCATTACAAAATAACTCTCTAATTCAGTAATTCTGTAAGGGTTTCCTGCTTGAGCAGGGGGTTAGACTAGATGACCTCTGAGGCAGAGTGTCGCCTGCTGTTCTACTCGGATCAGCAGTAGAGGGAGAGCAAGGAGCCCAGCTGAGGCTAAAGCCTGGGCCGTGGTCCTGGATTCAAATCCTGACCCCAGGCCCGCTTGGGAATCTTCCTCTCCGGCCTCAGTTTCCCTCCTGGGCCGCTGGGCATAATAAGGGCCTTTGCACCGTCCTGACTGAGCCGTCCTTGGGTCAATGTGTGTGTGCTGTCACCGGAGGAGGTGAGGCTGGGTGTGCACTGAGCCCCCTCCCCAAAATCCAGAAGGGCAGGGGAGCCTCTCCCATTACAGTGGGTCTGGGGGTGAGCAGAGCCTTCCTCTTCCCCCAGATGCGTGGGGAGAAGATACCCTGGGCGTGTTTAGGGAGGGGCCTGCCAGGTAGTCCAGAGCAGGGAGGGATCTTCTGGGTTACTCAGTCAAATGCCCTCCCTGCCCCCCCCCCTCCCCCCCCCCCCCCCCAGTTGCAAGAGGGCTTTAAGGACCCCTGGCCCAAAGGGACCCCATCCCTAGTGATTGCCAGCCCCTCTCTTCCTTTGGAACCCTGCCCCAGGTTCCATTCCTCTCAGGGTACCGACTTGGTGGTCGTCTCCCCCCCGGGGGTCTGCGACACCCCCCCATTCCCCCTCCCGCCTCGAAGGAGAATGACGGAAAGGGCTTTGGAGGTCTTCTAGTCGGACCCTCTTGCTCCACGCCCGGCCCACCTGCGGCGCTCCTCTCCGGCGCCCCCTCGGCCTTCACCTGCCAGGCACCCACCCACCCCACCCCACCGCTTGCCCCCCTCCACTTGAGAAAGAGCTGGCGCGGACCCTCCCGGGAGCCCCGGTCCGTCTCCCCGCCGTTCAACGGAGCCGGCTGGATCTCCGCCGTCCTGGCCCCTCCTCGCGCCGGCCGGGAAGATGGATCCGGCGGGGCCCTGAGAGGGTCCTACGCCCCTCCTGCGCACTTGCCCAGGCTCGGCCTCCTCTTCCTCCTCCTTCCCGGGCTCCGTTGACCGCGGCCCCACGGGGAAAAGACGGAGGGAGGGGCACGGGCCCTCGCCACTCCCGGGGACCCTTCCTCAACCCTACGTGGCAAGGCCCCCTCCCTCCCTTCCTCGCCCGGCCCCACTTACTTTGCCCCTCAAACTTGCGGATGATGGTGTCCAGGAAGGTGTTCTGGGGGGCCACGTGCCCCCGCCGGACCGGCATGCTGTAAGCCCATGGGGGAGGGTCGCCTGCCCCCCGCCGCCACGCGCCTCCGGGACCCCAGACAACGGCGATCCCCGAGCGGCCCAGCGCTGGGGCCCTTCACGGAGTCGCGACCCCCGGAGTCTCAAGACGGCGTCTCTCGAGTGTGGTGGGGAGGGGAGGCGGCGGGTGGGGAGGACGGCGAGGGATTCAGAGGCAAGGGAGGCAGGACCCTCCCCTTCCAGCCGGGCCCTGCGCCCCCTCCCCAGCCCCCCCTCCCGCTTCTCAGGGCCTCCTCTGGGACTCCCTTGGCTCTTCTCGTTAGAAATCTGGGCCGGACGGGTTGGGGGGTGGTCTCCGGAGTCCCTGAAGCTTTCCCAAGCCGGGGTCTCTTGCCACGATGAGACGGGCTGCGATGCCGAACCTTATTTAGGAAAAGGAGATGGAGCGGTGGGGCTTGAGAAGGGAGGTGGGGAGAGATGGGGAAGGGAAGGAGGGAGGGAGGGGGGCCGGCAGGAGGGGGGGGGGGGGGGGGGGGGGGGGGGGGAGCGCAGCTGGCCGCTTCTTCTTGGGCTTCCCCAGCTGCGAGCGAGGACTCGCCCGCCGTGCGGGGTCTCGAACGGCCCCGATAGCAGCAGCTCCGGCGGTCCAGAACGGAGGTGCTGGCGAGCGAGGGGGGGGCGGTTGGGGAAGGGGGGGTGATGAACTGAACCGGGGAGGAGCCTGGACACCTCTCAGCCAATGGCAACGCCCGCCACCCGAGCTTTAACGGGGTGGGGAGGGCGGAGGGGGGGGCGTCCGTCAGCTGCTGGCTCAGCCGAGCCCCGGAACCTGTCGGCAGCTGCGAGGCGGGTCTTGGCTCGCTGGCGAGGATGGAGATGGATGATGCCTCTGAGCCGGGGCAGAGTGCCTCCTCTAGTCTCATTGGAAGCAGCTCGGGAGGGGAGGTCTACTTTCTCTGCCCAAAGGGGTCTGGCTACTCGTAAAGATGGCCCCCCCCTCCCGGATCCCTCCCCCCCGCTAGGGATGGGGGGAGCGCCAGACAGCGCCTCCAGCTGTCCAGCCAGGAGACTGGGTCCAAGCGGCCCCCTCCCCAAATTTTGTCAAAGCTGTCCTTGCCAGCTGGAAAAGTGCCAGCTTGGGGGGAAACGGGGGTGGGGGGGGAGGACGCAGATAACAGGTCCTCCATGGCTGACTTGGGTAAAGGACGGGGAGGGGGGTGTTGTTCTGGAGGAAAAAGAGGGTGGGGCCTCCAGCCCCCCTCCCCTCCCCCCCTTCAGCAGGCAAAGTTTACCCGCAGAAACTCACTTGGATGGCAGTGCCCCCTCCCTGGGCACCTGGGCACCGGGTAACCCCAACAGGCGTCTTGAAACAGACTCCGGCCTGCTTCTTTTTTTTTTCCCAGTTGCATTGTCAACTTGGAATGTCACTAAATGAACCGTCGTAGATCGAGGACCCCCGGGTGCTGGCTCTGATATTTGAGCCAATCTACTCCCCCTCCCCCACACATATATAAAATGTGAATTTATTTCAAACTTTCCGACCTTAAAAAGCCCCTCCCCCGATCCAGTCCAGGGAGTCCTCGACATATGGCCGCCCCTTGAGCCCATTTCTCTCACTAAGCGAGACATTTCTTCTGGGAATTTGCCCCGCGTTACCATCTTTTTTGCTGCCGCTGTTCACAGAATCATTTGACGTTGTTAAATGAGCCCCCCCCGGTTGTTAAACGAATGGGGCTTTTCCCCTCAACGCTTCTAGACACTGTTGTTAAGTGAATTGGACTTCTCCGCTAACTTGCCTTGTCAGAAGGTTGTGAAAGGGGATCATGGCTGGCCTCGGGACACGAGCAACGGTCACAACTCTGAGTCAGTGGCTAAGTGCCTGAATTTTGATCTCGTAACCGTGAGGATGGTGTGATGGTCGTAAGTGTGAAGAACGGTCGTTAAGTCACATTGACTGTTGTAAGAGGAAGAGCTGTGTTCATTTCAAATGTTCCTACCTAATATGGTAAGTGGAAGATTCCATGACTTACTCCTTCCTGAGCTGGAGTGGAGGATGTGCTTTGAAAGTTCTGCAAATTGGGGACTTCATCTCCCAGAATCCCCCAGCCAGTGTGGGGAACAATTGCTTTTTCTACTTTTAATTATATATTTTAATTAATAAATAGCAACAAATTAATTTTAACTAGACTGGTCGGGCCTCCACCTGCAAGAATTTGCAGGATTTTAGAAACACTTCCCGTCAGGAGTTAGAAGGCCACAACGCCTCTGTCGGCTGACCACAAAATTCGCGCCGACAGGATGCGGTTTCCACACTGCACTGTCGTATGGCAAACCACACTCTTACCAGAATTAAACAAGGTTGACGTGGCGTTTAGCTTAAGCTGTGGTAAGGGGCATCCGGACGAGGGTCCGACAGTGAGCAGAATTGATCTTTGGCCTAATAAAAGGAGACACATAAATTGTCAAGTTATATCAGGGGTCCACAATCTTTGAAGCTCGGTGCCTCGACCAGGTGCGGGGTGGGGAGGAGGGTGTGTGAGTGGCAAGGCGTACCCTGCACTTGCGCGAATAAAGGTTCGTGTGCATGCAGAGAGTTCCTGCACTCGTGCCTGGCATTCCACTCACATGAGACACAGGCACTTACACTTGTGTGCGAAACTCCACTCGCATGAGACGCACTTGTGCTCACACATGAAACTCCACTCGAGCACGAGGCAGGCACTTGTGTTAATGCACAAAATTCCACTCACGTGAGAGGCAGACTCTTGTGCTTGCACACAAACTCCACTTGTGCGAAATGCAGGCACTTGCGTTCACACACAAAACTCCGCACTAGAAAGAGGCAGGCATTTGCGTTCATGCACAAAACTCCACTTGCGCGAGACTCGGGCACTTGTCCTTGCACACAAAACTCCACTCACGAACAAATGGAAGTTCGCACTTGTGCATGTGCTTGCCTACCGCTCGAGCGAATGGAACTTCACATGCACGCGCTTGCTCATTTCTCCCGTCGCCCGGTTTCAAACAAGATGCGGCCCAGTAGTGGCGACGGTCTGGGGGTTGGGGACCCCTGAGTAATATGATAGGTAAAAGGAATCCATGCCGATTTCACTCCTAGTCATTGCCGAATATAGAGGGTGGTGCCATCTCTGTTTCAAGGTCATTGAGCCAGTTCTGTCTGAAGATATTTCCACCATCAAGTGGCCAACATGACATCACGGTGCTTTGTTACCTACCCACCGAAGTGGTATCTATTGATCTACTCGCATTTACAGTACATGCTTTTGATCTGCTAGCTTGGCAGGAGCTGAGGTGAGGACGGGAACTCGCCCTGGCCCTTGGTGCTTGGGTCTCGAACCAAGGCTGCAGGTTTCCAGTAAACAAGCCCAGTATCTTAGCCATTGAGCCATGGTGCCACTGTACTTATGTGATAATGAAGTAGAATTAAATACTTGATGAAGTATTATGGGATGGCATTGCTTTGTATACACGTGCAACCTGTCACGATCAATACTGGATTTCAATTTAGTTTGTTACCGGTTTGCCCATGTGCGTGCACGTACTCATGTGCGCAACCCTTCTGCGCATGTGTAGAAGTGTCCGGGCGGGTGGCCGAAGCCTCCTGCTGCTGCCGCTACTGGTTCCCCCGATCTGGGATGAACTGGTAGCAACCCACCACTGGTCATGATATTTTGTCACCAATCAGCAATTCTCTTTAGTTTCACTTTTGTAAATTTGTATAGGTTTTCCTGCGGGGGTTGGAATAGATGACCTCTGACATTATAATTCTGTAAGGGTCACCTGGCTTGAGCAAGGGGTTAGACTAGAAGACCTCCAAGGTCCCTTCCAACTCTGTCCTTCTGTAATTGTGTAAAAACTCCCCAAACGCCGGCAGGAGAGCCGAGGGCCAGAGAGGAGGTTGCCACAATTCCTGGCGGATCTCAAGAGTGGAAAAAGCGCAGGTCACACCTTCCACACCGTCTGCCAATTAACCCAGGGAGCGAAGAGCAGCACCTTCCCCCGGGAGGATTGGAGAACCAGGCCGGCATTTTCCCCATGGCGCCAAGAAGAGTCAACAACCTTGAACCTGGGGGAAGGGCGTGGGATCTGTCTGTAGAAGAAAAGTGGGTGCGGCTCAGCCAAATCTCTCTCTCTCTCTCTCTCTCTCTCTCTCTCTCTCTCTCTCTCTCTCTCACACACACACACACACACACACACACACACACACACACACAGCCTCCAGTGTCTGTGGAGAGCTTCCATCGTCCACATCACGGTTGTCCCCAAAATGCTTTTTTTAAAAACAAAACCTTAACAACCGCCTTTGCTTGATTTTATTTTGTCGTCCGAAAGGGTTCACGTCTTCATTTCTTGGCCGGGAATTGGGGATGGGTCAGTCTAGAGAAAAGAAGGACCGGGAAGGGTGGGGTGGTGGTGGGGACGATGACATGTTAAGGGCCTTCCAGGATTTGAGGCACTGCCCCAAAGAAGGGGGGGAGTGGGGGTTCCACTTGTTTTCCAAAGCACCAGAAGGCAGAAATGACGGGTGGAAACTAACCGAGGAGAGAAGCAACCGGGAAGAAGGAGAAACTTCCTAACGGTGAGGACGATTAACCAGGGGAACCGCTTGCCTCCATAAGTTGTGGGCGCTTCATCCCTGGAGTTTTTAAAGAAAAAAACCAGACAGCCATCTATCTGAAATGACATGGGGGCTCCTGCCCGAGCAGGCTGTTGGACTAGATGACCTCCAAGGCCCCTTCCAACTCTGTGATTCTGTTATTGTGTGCTGTCATTCTCTCTTGTTATTAGCCAGGCCAGAATTCCCTCCAAGGGACTTCCTTGAGAGACACCCACCCCCCACCCCATGTCTCATCTAAGCCAGACGGTTGGGAGTCCCTTTCTTCTGAGGCCTGCCCATTCCCCATCCCCATGTCTGTTCCCTCCCAGGCCCATTTAAAGACAGAGAAGTAGCCATCCCTCCTTGACCCATGGGGGGGGGGAAAGACCATCTGCCCTTTTTCCGGACTCCGCCTTGGTGATTTGAGTGCAAATCAGAGGGTCTTTTGTGCTTGGAGCCCCTCACCCTTTTCTCCCATGCAAAGGGTCCTGGGCTGCTTTGGCTTTTGGCCCTAGGCTTTGACCCTTTGACCCCAAATGGCGGGGGGGTCAATCCTTTCACCTTGGTGGACTCTCCAAAGTGACCACAAAGATTGATTTTTGTCCAGGACATTCGGTCCCTAACTTGGCTTTTGAAGACCCCTCCCCCCCAGTTGCTGAACAAGCCCCCCCCGCCCCACTTCGCTGCTGGTTCTGCTCTTCCCCCCACCATCGTCTCCCCCCCACCAGCGGGACAGAGGCCTTCAGAGAGCTGGGGGTTTTGTCTAAGGTGTCCAAAGGGGGATAATTTTAGAGCCTCCATCAAGGAGGCCTGGCAGGTTTCAGGCAGGCTTGAAAGGAGAAGCTGAACAAAAGCCAGCAGAGGAGTAATTTTTAGGACATC